AAACTGAAGGCAGTTTCTCCCAGTATCCTTACATATAAAAATGGTTTGCTCACTTCATGGCTGTTTGTGGGAATTACTCACTTCATCCCTGTGCAGAAAGTGGCTGCCCGGCCTCCTCCAATATACGCAACCACTACCATTTACAGTATATCCTGTGAAGCGCTTTGAGATGTCGTCCAAAATGAAAGGCACTGGACCAAATGTAAGGATTATCAGTAATATTCTTTAATTGGCTGCTCCCATCTTCTTATCATTGATGTGATTGAACGAGCGCAGTTTAGCTGCCACTACATTTGTTTTCATTTCTAATCCAGGGTATTTTGTAAGGCACCATGAGAGGTTTATTTTAGGTGAAAAGCACTATACAAAGTTATTATGATACAGATGCATAAGTACATAGTACATTAGACTGAAACATACAGGACATATGCTGACATCAATTATTATGTCCCACTTCTACACCCTTCCCCCAGCTGCATATTCTTTCCTTATCTTCTGCTAGATCAATCTGATAACAAAAAAGGAAGAGGAGCAGTATGAGCAATTGTAGAAATGTAAATCCTTATCAGCCTGGCTGCCAAGTCCAAGGTAACCCAGTACAGGATACACTCTGCCCAAAGGCATGGAATCAATATTAAAGGTAGAAACACGAATTCCTGCTGAGAGCGACTTAGTTGCTTGTTATTATCAATGTTGGAAGCTCTTAATCAAACTAAAGAGAAATGCACTTTTTTTAAAACATTCTGGCCTCACTGTATCAAGGTTATCTTTAATCCTTACCACCTGTGCTTTTCAGACTGCAAATGCTGCGTGCCAATTCGCTAAGCAAATAGTAATGAGCAATGACATCTATTTTGTTCGAATTCTGATGCTGGTTAATCCTACAAGATACAAAGGGAGAAGCAATTTCAATTTTTTTTACTAGATGCATTTTGTTTCCGACTTTGATTATGAACAGATCATTTTCAAACACTTTTCAGCTTTTGCTGAATTACAGGGGAAAAGCAACAGGTGCTGTGATCAGGCAAGAGCATCTTGCTATTTCATTTACGTCTCTCAGCGATGTCCCCTTCGCTGGCGCCCTAACCCACCACTTGCCAAACAAGCAACACCAGTGCGCAGGCCTTTACAATTTGCCACATAAAATGCACTCTGCTGCTCCAAACGCAAGCTGATCTCTACCAACAATGATAATCCTTGCATTTTGATATAGTGCCTTATCACTTCTGCGAGACGTCTCAAAGCGCTGCACAGAATATACTGAATTTCCAGTGTGCGGAATGGCAATACTGCCAGGCTGGTTTAGAAGACAATCAGATGCAACGTGTATGATCTAGTGTTACCCTTTTTAAAGTCATCCTTGACTCCTCGCTTAGTTGGGCTGCTGTTAACACAGCAGCATGACCAGCTGGAGAATAGAATGCCTCTATCTCTTCTTCCGCTCCAGCTGGGGCCAGGGGCCATCCACAGGAAGGGGAACGCGGTGGCTCATCATGCCCTTAGAGCCAAATAAAATTTGTGAAGAGACACAGACATTCGGAGGTCGTGCTTTCAGCCACTATGCTCCGTCACTGTTAAGCGCTCTAAGACGCTAACCTGCGTGGAGGGCGCTATATTAATGCAAAGTCTTGTTGTTGTTTCATTCGATTGTGGTGCTTTCACTAATGGCTTGGCTACTGAAAAGCTCTCCTCTGATGCCACCACTTAAACAACTGCTAAACTATAACTAGTGGCAATGTATCAACAACAACAACAACAACAAGATTCCATTTATAAAGCGCCTTTCACGTCAGGAGGACATCCCATACGTATCTTTATGAAAGTCAAAAACAAAAGAATACAAAAAAAAGCAGGAGACTGTCAGTGCCCTGACAAGGTATACTAACAACCTACAAGTTCCAATCTGGACGCAAAGAGTGAAGTAAGCATTTCCTGTAAGCCAAAGTATAAAACCCATCAAAAGTAACTGCAGAACAAGCATTCCCCTGGACAACTGCATTCCACATGTGTGTGACCATGCATGCTGCCAAGCATCAAGGCCTAATCTGTCACAGTAAAGCTGAAGGTATAACTAGCATCAATAACAGTGATCCTCACTCACAGCGATGGATTGGTAACTGAATACAACCACCGCTCAAATACTGATCTAATCTGTCCGCCCACTGATCTCTGGCCCCTCCCCAACCATTCCAATTCTTTTAAATTTGTCCAAGACACATTTCCAGAAACTACAGAACATAGCATGGCAGGGAGTGAATTACAGGCAGTAATCTAATATGAGGGAGTTCAGATGGCACTGTAATCTGCAGGAGTGAAGCTTGATTGGTTAATGAATCTCACTGAACTGCTATTAGATTAGATTGCAGCCTAGGATTTCCTCTGGGTTATCCTATTTTTCAAAAAAATTACCACAGGGCAATTTCAAACAACAATTACATTTGTTACCATCAACATTGCCAACAGTGATACTTTTTTGTATGAAGTTAATTGCAGGTTCGAGCGAGGCTGAATGTCACTCAGCATGACTTTGCCTAGAATAACCTGAAGGCTACAGGTGGGTGTTAGCAATGATAAGACACTATTATGAACAAATCCAGCACTGGGTCTCCGAAAACGTCAATGCCAATGAGCAGAAATACACCCAAGGGTTCTCACTCATGTGCTTTCATGCCAACGCGTCCTCTACACCAGTGTCGTCTAATAGAAATGGCTGACTAGCCACATTTGTGGCTACATGGACACCATTTTAGCCACATGCACTAATTTTAGTAGAAAACACCTTACAGGTGAATGTACTTCATATGTGTGTTTACATGTATATTTACTTAAACTTCTGCTTAAAAAACATCTACTGCCATTTAATGCAAAACTTTGCAGTCTTCTCTTTATTTTTCTTTCGTGAGATGCACCAGAATGGTTGGATGCCCTTTGCCATAACTTGTCAAGTTATTGATCAAGTTAACCATGATTGACAGCTGCTCTCTACATAAAATACTGCTGGTGTTTCCATGGTGCTGAAATCCTGCTTTTCCACCCGTGTTACATGCTATTTTAGCAGATAACCAATAAGCAGTAAACCAAGGAAGTAAAGCATACGATCAAAAAACACTTGCACAAGTCGCTTTTCATCTTTCATTTTACCAACAAATCTACAAAAAGGTCAAAGTGCATAAGCATATGCCGTGTTAATATGAGTGTTGAGATCACATACCCAACGATAGTGCCCATTGATTATTTTTTTAACGAAAATGCAATTTTGCCACATCTGGATTCCCAATTTGCCACATGTGGCAAGTTGCTAACGTAGTGGACAACTTTGCCCTGTACCACACTCATTCATCCAAGGGTGCCAAGCTAGGACTGTTAAGTGCCTTGGGGCATCCTTACAATGTGTAAGGCGCTATGTAAATGTAAATTTGTATTGTTTTGTACCACAAATTGGCTAATGCTGAGCTCACAGAGAATATGGATATTCTGTTTTTTTCTAAAAATAAAATGACGAACAAAACCACAAATGTGAATTTCTGCATAACTTACTGATTAAAGATGGTGTTCACCTGTCAGAAACACATCCTCCTGTGGTGGCATCAGTGCAGGTCTATCAAATAACGACTTCCTTGCTTAAATGGTGCACACTCAGTACTGTATGAGAGTATGTAACTGAGTTTAGTTATGCGAAATTGGTCAACATTAATAGGGACTTTATCTCTCACGTACACATGGGGAAAATATTATTCCCTGGAAATTCAATAGCCCAGGGAGTTAATGTTAGATTTGGAGGAGCTGCTCTCTTTCTGGCTTTCCCTCCGCATCACACACTCACCTGCCCTTTCCCATTTCTGTTGCTGCCTTTCAGCAGAGCACATCCATCATGATTACCGTTGAAATTCGCCTTCCGATCAATCCACCCATTTGAATCACATTGTAAAGTTTTATCCTCCACAGATCATGACTCATCACCATGGGCACAGACACCAAACACAGACTAAACACCTGTCAGTCGCTCATTAATGAGCCCAGGCAGCTCATCACTGGCAGGTGAGTGGCTGAATGAGCAAACTCTCAACTACATACACACTCACCTTGGCCAATGAACATTTTTTTCAATCCCATTTAAAATGTTAAACACCTCTAACGAAGTCCCTGCTGAATCCTCTTGTCTCAAGACTGGGATACCAATATAATCAGGCGGAAGTATCCAGTAAAGAATTCTCCCCCAAATTCCTGATATTTGTTCATTATAATGATATAATAATCCTGACATTTGATATAGCGCCTTATATCTTCAAGACGTCTCAAAGCGCTTCACAGAACATACTGTAAAGTGAATTGGCTGTATATTTTGTGGGCGAAACCGGCAGCCAATTGCGCACATCAGTGTCCCACAGTCATACATTGAGTGTCCAAATTTTTTATATGTATCTATTGAAGGGATTACCCCTGGAAAAGTGATCTGCCAATTGATTAACAATGTTAGAGATTTGGATATATGCTTTTTTTAAAAAAATGGAACACAGAAACTGTCTTGAATTAGTTATAGAGCACTCAAATTAAGTATAGAACCTACTTGCCTTCTAAAAAAAATCCAGATACTTATCAAAATAGGTAACATATTTAAAAGGAATCCACATAAATCATTCCGCTACATAAAATGCTGTTTTACACATACAGTAACAGGATAGATTACAGCCACATAAACAGCTTGGATTATGATATTTATACTCGCTAGTCTTCAGTTAGCAGACAAGTAACTAAACAGAGATCATGTACAGGACAAGTCGTTGCAGCATTGAAACCTTTCTCCCTTTTCTTGTGTTCTACTTTATTTTTGAAGAACTAAACTCAAAATAGCAGCAGCCACAGTAACCCCACAAATGACTTACCCACTCATTTACTACCCTGGTAAATTCTTCTGGGTAGCTAATTAGTCACAATACCATCTAAGTCTATCACATAAAGGGGTGGGGGTGCTGAAAGTGCAGACTTAAGATTTATCTTACCTGTCTGGTGCACTGTCAGAGACCTGACATTGCTTTCATCTGCCACTGTAAAACAGAAAAAAAAGCATGAAACATTACATTTTCAAACCATTGAGATAAATACAGCAATAAGCAATGCACACAGCAAAAAGGCAGCTCAGGGAACAATGTCAGAGGGTAGGCTGTTTCAGCTCTCATACAACATGAAGTCAATACATCACCATTATTGGTGGGACAGGAAAGAAAGGGGGATTTTGCAGCCATGTCCTGCAAGAAGGGGAAAAGATACAACTGCCAAAGTGTTGAAGTTGGTTCAGTTGGTAACACTCTTGTCTCTGGATCAAAAGATTGTGATTTCACGTCTTACGTTAAGGTTTGAGCTCACAATCCAAGTTGATGGTCCAGTGTAGTACTGAGGTGCTATTAATAATAATAATAATCCTTGCATTTGATATAGCACTTTTCACGTCGGGAGGACGTCCCAAAGCGCTTCACAGAAGACACTGTAAAGTGAATTGACTGTATATTTGTGGGCGAACGCAGCAGCCAATTGCGCACAGCAATGTCCCACAAACAGTCGTAGATTGAAAATGACCAATTTATTATTGTTTTTGTTTTTTTGGAGGGATTATTATTAGGCGTGTGGAGTAAGGAAACTTGCCCAACGTTTCGCCCTCTGCCTGGAATTGAACTCAGGTCTCTCGCTTGCAAAGCGAGTGCTCTAACCACTGAGCTACAGGACTCCACTATTGCCTTGTGTATGGAGGTGCCATACTACAGAGGAGACAGTAAAACAAGGTCCCACCCACCTGTGGTGGATGTGAAAGTTCCATAACACTATTTGAAAAGAAAAGGGGGTATCTCTATGTGTCCTAGCCAACAATTTTCCAGATTAAATGGGTCATTCACCTCATTGCCGTTAGTAGAGCCTTGTGTGCAAAATAGCTATTTGTTAGCATATAGTCACTACACTTCACAGCAATTCCCCATGAAGAGCTTCAAAACATTTCAATATAATAGATACTGAATCAAATGCAGGGATTATTAGTTGCTTAAATACCTAAGTGCCAGCCAACGTTATCCAAGTGGCTAAGGCAGCGACCAGGGTGTACAACTCTTATATTAAAGATATTTAATGTGACCCACGAGACAGCTTTTATGTTGTGTCCAATGCACATAAGTAAATATGAATGTGACTAAACAAATTCAGTGATTTGTATTAATCAAAGCAAGTAACAGGTGACGTAATGCATTATTCAGTGTCCACAGATTATATTTTCACTTTGCTACGGTGTTATTTAATACTCAACATAGAAATTGTATTTTGCACATGCAATGCAACACTCTTGAGCTGTAGTCAGGAATATCATGAATGTTGAAAATTACACCACGGATTTCCAGTCATTTACCGATGCAGGATCCATAATAATGCAAAGAATTTGTTTTTACTTCTTCAATTTCTCCCTTTCTCTCTCAAATACAATGATTCTTGCTAGACCACAGCTCCCTGGGACACACAATCAACTGCTATCTTACGCAAAGTGATTATTCTTCACATGGGAGTTGAGATAGTGAATTTGGTTCTTCAGATTATCACAGCCTTTCTGAACCCAGCTTGCAATCCTATGGGTAGTGGACGTATTAAGGGGTACGGTGAAAGGGCAAGGTTTGGGATTTCAAAGATATACCAAGGTCTAATAAAACTAGTTTGATGGCCTCTACCTGTTCTGATGTTCCTATGTCTGCACGCATTCTCTATTAGTTACCAATGGATCTAAATTCTGGCTGTTTTTTAACATTAATTGGTTAAATGAACTGTAGTGGCCAGAACATTGCATTTATGCCTTGGCAGAGATTAGATAATTCTGCACAGACCATAAACTGAGCCTGGAACATTGAGAATCAGCATGCTTCATTAAATTTGACCAATTATAGAACATTAAACAATATTTCCCACTTCAGGTGAGGGCTGAAAAGATGTATCTGTTCCCAATACATGTATACTATATGTCTTTACAGATATTGAAAGCTGCAATATCTCATCAGCTACAAAGCTATTCAGAGGATTCTGATGAGCTACTTTCTTAATCAATTATAAATGGATTAATTACCACTGCCCTAAACTCTAACACGTATATCACAGATAAAAGTCTCATTTTCACACATTCTGCTCTCTTGTTGGTTCTTTCAAGATAGCAGCGAATATTAAATGGGGAGAGTGTGGAAGGAAAAATAAAAGAAGAAACACATTCCGTATCGACAGCTGAAAATCATAATGGCAAAGATCTTGCCAACCTCAACAAGCTCACATTGGACTACTTTCCAGTGGGCTCCATCCCCCTGGGCTCAGTGGTGAAGTGCAGTTGCAGAGGCTGCTGGCAAAACGTACAGAGCATATTTCATCACTGGTCTGCACTGAATTAATCCAGTAACAGTTCAAGAGAGGAAGGGAAAGATAATTGGAAACAGTAGTTTTTTTAAGATAAAAGAATGGAGGTGAGATTTCCAAGCACTTCCGATGGATTTGGAAAGAATCTGCTCGACTTGTGCCATGCTAATAACAAAAGAACAGTAGCTGTGTTGAGGGCCGCTGTGGGGAAGTGTGCTTTTTTCCTGCACAAGCCGCAATGCCCAACATCTTGAAGGCAGCATTAAGGAGGGGGAAAAAAATTGCCTTTGCACATGTGGAAAGGAGCTCCACCACGCTGTGCAACAGGGCGGTAAGATATGTATGGACTTATGGACTGCATCTGTAATTCCCCACAGGTTTCCATTTTCTTTCTTGGGAACAGGAGTCAGGCAGCTTCACGGGATTGGGGGAGGGCAGGAGGGGAAAGAAGCTGGACGGAGAGAAATGGGTGTTCGTCCACAATATTGACACACAGTCACATCACTTTACAGTACAGCCTGTGAAGAACTTTGAGATACCTCGATGATGTGATAAGGCTCTATATCAAATGCAAGGATTATTACTGTTATTATTAATAACAGTGCCTATCAGAGAGCTGTACAGCATCATTTTGGCAAAATATTAACCCATTCAATTCCCATCCTCTCTCTAGCTGGGGTGGGGAGGATGGTGGGGGGAATGAAAGGGGAGAGAGGTGTCTGAAGAAAATAAATAATGCGGTGGTTGGGGAGCAGTACACTCAGCATCAAATCAAAGTAGCAGATCTTTGCAGCTTGTCACCGTCAGAATACTGTTCAACACACACGACTCAATTCAAAGCAGGCATATTGCAAGCCAGAAAACCCTGATGGCATAGGCCTCCCCTTTCTAAACAATATCACATGTGCTTTGTGACCACATGAAGATTTATGTGCAAAATTGGACATGGAATATCAAATGAACAGCTTGCCCCCATTGAGTTTTGGTGTGGGGGTGCGGGGGGTGGAGGAAGAGAGAGCACTTTTCCTTTTTACTCTCAACTAGACCAGACACACTTGAAAGAAATGGTTAAGGGAATGCGCAAGGACATAAATCAATGCCCGGGGAAAGTGAGTTCAGCTTGAGTGCTGCCCTAATGACTTGCAGCCATTATCCAAACGCCAGTCCTATAGTAGCTGACCAGATGTTTGAACTTCCAAAGGAATGCCGCCAAACTACTGGATTTGACCATTCTTAACAGAGACGACCAACCTGAAAAGAAAGCTTTGTTCCTTTTAAAGCATATTTATCAACAAACAGGGTCACAAAGCTATTCATATTTCCAAGAAATGTTTTTTTAAATTTGTACCTGGACTGCATTGACTTTGTAATATGTCTTATTTTAAAGCATATTATTAGACCAGGGATGCACGTGAATCCCTCACCTCACTCTCGGAGGTAATGACCTATGCTGGGATAAAGTACCCACAGGCATTGTAAAGTGGTTTCGGGAATTCTAAATTGGATGGGTACTAATCCAGTCTATAATGACTTGTGCACGGCACTCTGGGCATAATCATCGTACTCAGAACATAGCTTTGATGTGTCGTTTTAACCATGATGGATCCAATAAATTATTACAACTAGGGGGTGTGTACTTCCAAGTCACTCATGTCTGCCAAGAATTAAATGGCTTTATTACCACCACAGATGCATCTCCATCTCATCAACACTAGGCTATCAGGGACGACTGAGGTTTCCTCTCTCCCCTTGATCCAATCTTCTCCTGCCATACTCCTCGATTCGCCCCCTCTGCTGAACTAACTTAGGCTCGCTGTACATCATCCAGCCTTTCCACACCACCATCGGTGGCTGAACCTTCAGAACTACACCTCTATCCTCTGGAACTCCCTCCTCTCTTCTGTTTTTAAATCCCGGCTCAATTCCTTATTCTTCAAATGCACCTACGGCCACCCCTTGCTCAGAGTCCAACAGCATCCCTGTAATGTACTCCGAGGCATGTGAAGGGTGCTATATAAATGCTGTGGTTTAAAGTGAGGGATGCATTGCTTTGGGAATTCGAACAATTATCTATTTGAACCAGCCAATGTCTGCCTCATATCCTACCAGGTTAGGAACAGTACAGGTGACTGTCTCCACTTGGCCAACATACTATAACAATAATTCTCACCAATGCAAGTTTACTCGCTAAGCATTTTGTTGATCCCAATTTCGTGCCCTAATATATGACAGTAAACTACTGATAATTCAACTCAACAACAACAAAATTACATTTATAGAGCGCCTTTCACGTCGGGAGGATGTCCCAAAATGCTGAATAGTCAGGTGTCGGGGTCCGAGCGTGGGGGAGGGGTGGTGTAGGGGTGAGGGAAGGCAGAGAGGTGGGAGGGAGACCAAAGGCACGATCAAAGAGAAGGGTTTTGGGAGCAGCCTTCAAGGAGGCAAGGGAGGAAGTGAGGCGAAGGGACCGTGGGATGGAGTTCCAGAGTGTGGGGGTAGAGAGGCTGAAAGCCCAGCCACCGATGGTAGGGCGGGTCGGGTGGGAGACATGGAGCAGGGCGGAGCCCGCTGAACAGAGGGAGCGGGCAACTCTGTCTTAACTTGTCACAACCACTCAAGTCATCATGCTGTCAATATCCCAGCCACATTTATTTATGTATTTATACACATGCCTAACTGGCCACTCCTGATAACTCGTCACTGAGCCCTTTCCCCTTAAAGTGATGAGTTATCAGGAGTTTACCGTATTATATTTGGCTCAGGTAGCATTTGAAGCCAGGTAGCTCTATAAGTGGAGACCCAGTGACAGCACATCGGCTCAGGGCCCCCAGGAGAGGGGGAAGGAGGGCTACACTGAGAGTACCATATGGACATAGTCCATGACCGCTGTTAACAATCAGGTTACTCCAGGAAGCAAGGAGGTAAGAAGTGTAAAAACACACAGACGGCACATACACACACTATTCCTGTTATGCCTCTGGCCAGAGAGAAGTCAAGAAACCTGAGAAGAGGACACTTGGTAGGACAGCAAAAATGTGAGTAACTCACGCAGATGTAGATTTAGTCACTGTGCACTGGGTGGTGCTGCGCTTATTAAAAGGAACAGTCCGACCGTGCCTGGATTGAGGCAAACTCAGGTATTCAGATTGTCGTAACACATCTTGTGTCAGGTCACTTTGAGTTCAGAATTTGGTTTAGCTTACCTCCCTTGTTGATCTGTCAAGATGCACAAAATTCCCAGTTGAATTCTGCTGATGCTCCTGGGCATTGAAACTGCCTTTTGTCAAAAAAAATTGACTACACTTCCTTTCATAATGGAAAACAGAAGGGCATTAGGCGAACAGTCCAAACTACATAGAGGAATCTTGAGACATGCTTAGCAAATCTGCCCAGGTGCACGCTCTGCTGGAGGACCAGTGGGTAGAGATACCATGAGGTGTTAATTAACATTCAAAGCCCAAACTACAGAAACCAGAAGGTCGAAGGTCTTATTCTTTGTTGTTGCTGAGTTAATTGATCTCAGCCACAGTGGCCCTGGGTTACGAAGGTGAAAAATTAAAGTTTGAACGTCTGGACAATGGAACTGGGTTAAGATCGTCTCACCCAACATCTTACTTTCCCGGCTGGAATCAATATGACAACTGCCACCCAGCAAGAGTCACCACCTTCACGATATGGATAGCAAGAGGGGCAGAGTAAATTCACAAAAGTAAGAAAAACATTAAGTCTGAAGCAGCATTGAATGCTGGTGCGACGACTGGCTTTGCTTTGGTGCGGGTAAGATTGTTGGGGCCTGTGATTTACTGCACAGCGTAGGGGGCAGGGGAGGGGGGCTAGGAGGTGTAAATTGCTGACTGAAGACATAGAAAGGAAGGAAAAATTTCAGGAAGCATCATCTCCCATTACACTGTCTGGAATGAGCTTCTTTCTTGTTCAGAATGGTGAGGAAATAGGGAAATCTGTAAAGTTGATTGATTGGGGCAGGGGAATTAATAATAATCCTTGTATTTGATACAGCACCTTTCAGGAGTGTGTTTCATAGTGCTTTACAGGATTTACTGTGAAGTGTAGTGACTGTGCATTTTGTGCACAGCAATATCCCACAAACAGTCATACATTGAATGACCCCTTTTATCTGGGGATTATTGATCAGAATACTTCTCTTTTTCAAGTAGTGCAATGGGATTTTTGACATCAACCTAAACAGGCAGATGGCACTTGATTTAACATCTCATTTGAGGGATGGCACCTCCGACAATGCAGGGCTCCCCCATCTTGTATTGGGGTGTCAGTTTAGATTGAGCTCAAAGTGTTAACATGGGGCTTGAACCAACAACATTCTTTCTCTGAGGCGAGAGTGCTATCAACTGAACCAGGCTGACACCAAGAAGACATTTCAAGTTCAAAGACCGTCAATAGAAGGAAAATAAATGTTCTGCCTTAATCAACTGTGTACACTTAAGTCCCATTTATAACGCTGATTTATTTTAAGGTAAACCTGGTCCAGATTTGAAAGTCTCTTGACAATTACTGCCAAAAAAATTATTCCGGTAGAAAAATATCTCTGAGGAGGCCTTTGTTCAGAACTAGAATGTATATCCCATTAGCCTGTGGTAACCAAGACAGTTTCATCCAGTTAGCTTTACTTGCACCCTGGGTAGCCCAAGTAGGGTGGTCCTCCTTAGAGGAATGCTCATTGGGAATGCAATTGAAGCATTCTATCCCAAGCAGGAGGGAAGAGTGGATGCCTCTCAGCGAGCTGAAAGATCACAGATTATGTTTCTGACTACAGGGCATGCGCTCACATCTCTGATTTCTGAAGTCTCGTTCTCATGCTGTTAAAGAGTCCAGAAACTGCCGAGCTTTCTGACGGTAGCGTAAAGGGGGACAACTGAAAATGAAACCTACGAGAGGCTATTGTGATTCACAAGCAACTGTCTGTCGATTGCCGTATATATACACATGCACATTTTCTTTTGAAATATTCCCAAGATGTTCACAGAGGTTTGCAGATTATACAATACCAAGAAGTGCATGCTGGAAATGTGGTATTCAACAAGAAGTGTAGTGCTCCAGGGGTTAAAGCAGCAGTGGCTGATGCACACCGTGGTGAAAAGCACTACAATTGATGCCAGGTGATAAAATACCAGGAGTGCCATGACTCCGAAAGACTTCTGAACGCCTCCATCAGTCAAACAGGGTTGAAACATTGCCAAACTCTTCCCTTTTCCTAATTTAAGACACTGCACTTGATAAAGCAGCTGCTGAACACTCAGAAAATAAAACTTCCCGTTCATTGGCTAAACAAAGCATGATCATGCTTTTCATTACATATGTGCAAGATTAGCTACTCTGCACCCACCCAGACCCTTCCCCACCCCAAAGAGAGAAGGGAAGAACAAGAAAAAAACAATGGAAAGCACATGTTTCGATTTCTTTATCAATCCTGTTTTATAACTGCACATGTTTATCAGATCACTGTTTTATTCCGATTAGCTGCATGATTTGTACTTTCATTTAGAATAAAGAGTTTCAATCTTTTGGTGAATTATTTGATAGTACTCTAATAATAAAATGATCCTTGCCTATGACAGAGTGTGTTTCATGTCGTTGAGACATCTCAAAACATTTCACAGTAATTACTGCAAATAGTAGTGACTGCATGCTTGCACTTGAACATCATTCACAACCCAGTTGCACACAGCAATGTCCTACAAACAGCCATGGAGTAAGTGACTAATATTTGGAGGATTGTTGACCAGAACAACAAAATAACTCCCTTTTCTTTTCCAATAGTGCCATAGGATCTTTCATGTCCATCTGAACAGACAGACAAGACTTTTGTCACGTTGACTTGTTCTAAATTTAAACCTCAATCGCTATTCCATTTGTGTTAAAATCATTCAGCATCTGTCCAGTGAACAGGTTCAGGATTTGAACAAGCTCTTGTGGCCTACACAAGAGTTGTCTCATTCATTAACACCCATTTATATGCACTTGTGAATCATGTGAGAATCTTACTATGCGCTGATAATAAAATAGCCTCTCACATTCTTCAATCAATGCCACTTCAGAACCACTTTTAACTGTGATTAACATCATGTTCAGCTTATTAAAACCGTAATACATATTGCAAAGAAAAAAACTTACTGATGCTAGAGAGCGAGTTTAAGGTTGGGATTCAGATAACATTTATAAACACACCTGAACTTCAGTCTTGGGACTTATGCCATTAAGTGAATTCTTATTCCTCACTCTTAACCATCTGCCAAACCAATGCATGTTATGTGAAACATTGCAAACTTGTTTTTGACCAATATTCTGTTACTTTAATAGCCTTTCAGCAAAAGGCTGGATGCTTTTCTCTTACCCAGATCCATGCTCTTTGAACTGCTGATTCTAACAGAAGCTTTATCAGGCTTGAGTTCTGGAGTCCCAGCTGTGACTTTCTGCTGTAGCAATTGCGAACCAGGACTGACCTCAGAGCTACAGGAAGAGAGAAAGAGAGAGAGAATGAGAGTAAAAGAGATACAATCAGGCAACCATTGACCAAAGCCAACACAACAAAAAAATTATTTAAAAAATATAGGTATTGAAATTCCATCTGTCCAGGAGAATCTTCGCTGACCTCTGTTTTGACACAAGTTAGTATTGAAAGCACAAACAACAACATGTGATTCTATTCTACGTTTCAGTAATCTTTGTTTTCTGGTATGAACGAGATCTGTAAACTGTGCCATATCCTTCCACTAATTCATCTACAGTAAGCGCTACGAGCATTAATAATTGGTCTTGTAAATTCCTTGAATGCCATTCTTTTGT